TTGAGTGTCCATTTTAATACTCATGAGGGGTCCTGGAACCAAATCCAAGAACCAAAGCAGACACCAAGCACCCACTGTAAAAGCACCCATTCCAAGTCTTCAAGATTCTGGTGAAAGAAACAAAATAGAAAAAAATAGATCTATCAAGTTTGAACCCTGATCTCTTCAGCTCAAAAAGTCTTCTTCTTATAGATAATAATCATGCCTTCCAAATCTCTGAAAAGTATGCCCTGTCTTCTTGAAGATAAAGGAAGTTTAAGTGGCAGAACCTTGAAAAAATTACAGTAAAACAAGGTCTTTTAAATGGATGCTAATTCTTTGCCATTTTTTCGTGTCAGGAGTGACTTGAGAAACTGCAAGTGGCCATCTGCAAGGATGTTGCCCAAGGGACACCTGGATGTTTTACAACCATGTGGGAGTCTTCTCTAATGTCCCTGCATAAGAAGCTGGAGTTGACAGATGAGAGCTCATCCCGCTCCTTGGATTTGAACCGCCGACCTTTCGGTCAGCAGTCCTGCCAGCACAAGGATTTAACCCATTGCACCAACGGGGGCTCCTAAATTTTTTTGCATGAGATGCCTTTTGTCTGTTTTTTCAATAAATTGATTTTTTAAAAATACATTTACTTTTTTAAAAAAACTTTGAATGAGGAAAAAAGTCACTTTGCCTGGACTTTTAATTTTTTTTTGCTTGGAATGTAATCCAGATTACTATTATTCATTAGCAGTTTTGTGGCTGACAATTTTGAGATGTTCCAGTTGTGAACACAAGTAGAAATTACTGAATAAATACTATTAATACCGATAAGATTCCGGTCCCAATTCAAGGTTTAGGTTATTACCTACAAAGCCCTAAGTAGTCCGTGTCCTGCCTATCTTTGCAATTTCATCTTCCCCTAGGAACCTGTATGGACTCTAAGATCTTCTGGGGAGGCCCTTCCCTTGCTCCTGCCCCCGTCACTAGCACAGCTGGTAGAAATGCGGGAGAGGGCCTTCTCGGTGGTGGCCCTCCGGCTCTGGAACACTTTCCCCGTGGAGGTCAGATTGGCACCCGCCCTGTCCACGTTCTGTAACGAACTAAAAATGTGGATGTTCCACTGTGCTTTTTGGCTAATCAGTTCACTAGATAATTTTGACCCCTCCAGCCATAATTCAATATCTGGCTCTTGCACTTTACCATTGTCCCTGCCCCATAGTTGTATTGCTCAAATTGACTCGGCTCTTCTAGCCCAAATTTATCATCAAGCTTTTGCACTTTTCCACCAGCCTTGTCCTTGAAACTGTATTGCACAACCCCCTGCCTCGCACCTTAGCTCAGTATATGGCCACTATGTTAGGCTGCTGGTTGTTGATGGTTATGTTTTAATGATGGTTGTATTTGTGATTTTTTTACTGTGTTATATTTTAATCTGTGTTTGACTGCACTTGTCCCCATGTAAGATGCCCCAAGTTTCTTTGGGGAGATGGTGGCAAGATACAAAAATAAATTATTATTATTATTATTATTATTATTATGCATTTTTCTTTGTAGTATCTGGAGTTCTGCAAATTGATTTTCTGGTATATACTGCACTACTTTTTGTTTTAATACACTGTCTTAACACTTGAAGCATAAAAATAAAAAAAGGAGATTTTACAGTGTATTTTTTACCATAGGAGCCATACACATTATTAAAGTACACATACTAATCAGAACTTGAAAGGAGTTACCCAAGGTGCTGAACTATATTACTAATACAAGCCTAGTATGTTTAAATGTTTAGAGTCTGGACTAAAACCTGGGAAGTATTGGATAGATAGATTTTTAGGTCAAGAAATTTCCACAAATGCTCTTATCCAACCCTATAAGCAACATTCCTGACAGATGAGACTATATTATCTACATAATAGGACCACATATGATAGAGGAAAAGGCTAAGCAAAACCTGATATGTCAAAGGCATGATTTGGACACGATGTAGAGTTAGTAAAGCACACTATGTAAAAACACTCCAGGCATTCATGTCATATGTTAACAGAGAAGGTGAAAACCCCACAGAGCTACATCTAGTATGCCCGGAAGATATATCCTTGCCACATCCCAAATATGGAAGTTAATCATACTAAGCATGAAAGTAAAACCAATGCACTGGGACACATCAAAGGCGGGGGGGGGGGGGGAATGTTGTTAGCTTGTTAGCAAAAGAGTGGCCAGAAGGGAGATTGACAATGTATTGGTGGATCTCTGGGTGATTTGCAATAGATCAATTGGACAAGGCAAAATCAAACAAATAGCCATAAGAATAAATCTTTGTCTTCTTCATCATCATCAACCCAGACCTCACAACCTCTGAGGATACCTGCCATAGATGTGAGTGAAATGTCAGGAGAGAATGCTTCTGGAACATGACCGTACAGCCCGGAAAACCCACAGCAACCCAACCCAAATTATACTGCTGAAATGAAGAAAGTCCAGGGCCACCAATATATGGGCAGACTATTTGGTAACACAATCCAAATTTTTGAAATAAGAACTTGCTTAATTCTGATAATATAGTATATCTTTTGCACCAGGCTCATATCTCTAGTAAATCTTGAGTTCTTCTGGGGAGAGGAGCAAAGCAAATCCTACAAACTTGAAGCCTACACCAACTCCTGTGTTAGTATGACAGTGTTCCCCAAAATCTAATCCAAAGAACAGTAATTCTTCATATAAGGCAATCATCTATACGATAATATTACAGCCATGAAAAGAAAGCTGTAAGTTGTACAAAAATGGAAATTGCACCACAACTATTGCATTCCTGTAGATCCCGCCTCTTCATAATAGCATCTAAAGACAGTGACACCAACATACAGAGAACATGACTTAAATATCAATCCTTTCCCTGTGTATATTCATTCTCCACCATTGGCTTGAAGATGTCTTTTCTGATGAAGAGAAATTATATTTTTTTCCATTGTCTTAAGAAAGATTTTGTGTATTTTATTGATCCCCAACATGGATACCTCTGCTCTTTCACATTGCCTAAAGATGTTTATTTCAGTGTTTCGGTATGGATGTTCACATGGTACAGTCTGAATGTTGGTGTGCTGTGCTAAAATTGATATAGAAAGTCCTTCTTCCATTTAGTATCTCTAAGAAGCCTTATATGACTAATATCATCTAAAGAAACGAGGAATACTACCTTTATAGCAAGAAAAAAGGGAGTGGGTGGGAAAATATTAAAAACACTATCCTATGTCCACAGATTTGGGATGAATTCCTACTGAATTCAACAAAATTATTTTCTGACTCAACATGCACAGAAGTAGACAATAAAAAGTGCATGCATATAAACAACACAATTATCTTTATGGATGGTTAGGATGTTCCTATTATATCACCAAACTTTTGCAAGTGGTCAGTGGAGGCATTCAATTGTGCAACAATGAGCATTGTACAAATGTGCTTCGACTTGTACACTTATCATCCATGTATCTGGCAAACTGGATTATAATCAACAAAAACCTATTGTATAATAAATCCACTATCCTTAGATAGCACAACTCTTTTTCCTCAATAACAAAAGGCCCATTATGGTATACCCATGAACTAGCTCGGATATTAAAATCTTCTGGAGGGGCCCTGTTCTTGGTCACACCCACCTCGCAGGTGCGGCTGATGGGGACAAGGGGTAGGGCTTTCTCAGTGGTGGCCCCTCGGTATAGAACTCCCCCCCCCCCCGAGACATTATGTTGGGTTTCTTCCTTCTAGTTTTCAGAAAGTTAAAACTTGGCTGTGGAACCAACCATTAGGAGAGTAGTACACTCACAGTGCAATATGCAACCACTGAGTTAATATGTGTAATATATGTTCTGTATCAGAAACTAGAGCTGATGTGGTCTACCCAATGCAATTTTCTGAATCAGAGCACCAAATAACCAAACTAAATCTAAAGTTGACCAGAAACCTATTTATAACCCTTTTGGTACTAATGTTGGAGTGTGGTCCCTAGTCAAAGTGGTCCCTAGTAAAAAAAAGTTGGGAACCATTGATTTAAATGTATTTATATGGCTGTTTTATGATTTTAATGTTTAATGTATTATGTATTTTGTATGCTTCTATGTTGCAATGTGGCATTGAATTGTTGCCAAACTGGAAGCCACTCAGAGTCCCCTTTGGGGTGGAGTTAAGGCAGGGTAAAAATGTAGTAAATTAATAAATAAAAATGTGAAAAGGCAAATTTGCAATATAAAGATATAGCCTTAGAAAAGTAAAACTCCTGAAACTATGTGAAGGCTGACAAAGCTCCTTCTCAGTATTTTTAAATAGCAGACTGTTCAGAAAGATTTAAATCTAGATAATCTCACTGTGGTGTACTGGATTAAATGTTTCTAAATGTGTTACCCTTTTGTGAGCTTCACTGGAGAAGGACAACGGTCCTTCTCAAAAATTTGGATGGTGGCCAAGAATAATGATAGCATCTCCGTCTTGGCACAAAAATAGTCTCTGAATTTGACCCGCAGTGAGTAAGGTAAAGAGGATGAGAGGATCATATGTATGAAGCATCCAAGGCAAAAAGTGCCAATGAGTTGTTAAAGCGGTTTATCATACTGAAATTCATTCACAGAAATGAAGTTTCATGCACTTGTTGAATAAACCATGAAAAAAAAACACTAATCCATTGACATTCAGTATCAAGCTGTTATAAAGAGAACTTTCAAAACTTTGAAATAGAACAATAGCAGCAGTACTTGTAAATCACCTTGCTTACAATCTTAAATTATAACTTTCCAAGTTTCCAATGCTAACACTAAGAAATTCAGCTTGTGATTGATATTATTAGAAATGGGTTTAATTCTGAATTAATGGAATAATTGCCTTTATAAACTAACAGATCATTTGCTATATCAAGAATACTGTGTTCAAAGTTTGACTTCCCTGATTTGTGTCCAATTACTCTAAAATGAGAATTTCATATTTGAATGAGATTGAGAGAGAGAGAGAGAGAAAGAGAGAGAGAATAAACATACACTTACCAGCTTTTTTGGTGGGTTCTGGCATAGTTTCAGTCCCTCTTTAGTCCCAATATGTGACCAGTACAACAAGTAGCCACAAGTCCTGATGAGAGCATGCAGACCAATATGGCAAGCAGAGGGAGTGTGGAATTCTGCTTTATATACAGCATTGAAATATCAATCAAAATAGCACCTCCTCTCTTCTCAATGCAAACCCTCTGAAAACTGACAGTTATGGGAGCTCCGCTTACATCTGTTGTTTGCAGCCACTGCGCTCTTGGCTTTAGGAAAGAATCTCTACAGCATTTCATGCAGCTGAGGAGAACAGCTATAACTTTCTAAATTGAGAAGCATCACATTTGCACACAAAGTAGGGAATAGAACAGACCGCCAGACAATCGGAGATACAAAATCTGCTCTAAATTACACACGCAAACTTCTCTACCTTTCACCTACCCCATCACGAAGACACCTCAAACAGACAACCTGATAATGAACTTACAATTGTTGGATAATGCTATCACAATACTGCAACACTTCTCTAAATTTAAGAAATTTGGAGTGTTCACAGTACTATGAGGCTATGGCAAACCTCAGTTATGCAATATTGATAAATATTTATGTTCTCCTCCAGTTGGAGACAATGGGAATTTAGGCACAGATGTTTATTTTGCTCATGGATAACATTGAAGAGGAATATTCTGAAATAGCATTTATGTGAAGTTTCTAAAAATATAGAAGTGCAGAAAGCAAAGCAGGTGGATGGCACCCAAAATGTCATGTATCTAGCTAACAGATCTAAGAAAATAATTGTTCTATGGCATTTTATTTATAGATAGTTGTATTTAGAAAACAAAGCTAATGGCTGTTTTAACTGGAGCAATTACTTTATTGTCTACAGCAAAAACTATGCATAATCCTCAGTATTTGATATTTCTCATTATAGGGTTTTCAAGGTAAAAGAGTTTCAAGTGTTTCAGGAATTCTTCACTATTCCTTTCTTCTGGGTTCAATTGCTACTGTCTCTCATGGATCCACTGCCAGTTTCACACCTGGAGGATTCATGTATCTGTAGATTAAAGATTTTCTATGCCTTGGCTATATAAGATCCTCTAATATAAAGATACACCATCAAATCCAAAAGTCAGAATCATCCAGACCATTGGTTCTCAACCTGGGGTCCCCAGATGTTTTTGGCCTACAACTCCCAGAAATCCCAGCCAGTTTACCAGCTGTTAGGATTTCTGGGAGTTGAAGGCCAAAAATATCTGGGGACCCCAGGTTGAGAACCACTGATCCAGACCATAGTAATTTTGATTTCGATGACTGGCTGAGAAATAAGTTGACAAGAACTTATTGACAAGAAGAAAATAACTTATTTGAAAAATGGTGATTGAGAATACCATGAACCACCAGAAAGACAAATAAAGCTTCCTAGAATAAACTGAATCTGAACTCTCATTAGAAAGAGGCTTACATGCTTTGGTCACATAATGAGACAGTGCAATTCAATGGAAAAGATCATTCTGAGGGCCTCATCAAAAAGGCCAGGTGTACCTACCCTCCATGACAGAAGAGAGGGAAAGTGGAGCGAAACTTTCTCCATCACATGGAGAAAGTGTCACCCGCACAGAGACCCCATGTTCTGGAGGAAGCATTCAATGACAATTCTACCCCAGTTGGGAGCGAAGCCTCTGCCAGAAGTCACACACGGCATCATGTGATGTCTTGGGAGCCCCCAGTGGTGCAGTGGATGAGCTCCCTCTGTCAGCTCCAGCTCTCCATGCGAGGACAAGAGAGAAGCCTTCCACAAGGATAGTAAAACATCAAAAACATCCGGGCATCCCCTGAGCAACATCCTTGTAAACGGCCAATTCTGTCACACCAGAAGCAACTTGCAGTTTCTCAAGTCGCTCCTGACATGAAAAAGAAAAGAGTAATGTCTGGCATGGGATTCCATCTTGAAGATGGCATGCAAGTGTCTTAGGATGCTGATTTAGGTAACTACGATGGGGGCCATTGTCAAGGAGTCCAAGATCTTAGGAGGCCAGTTGATTATGCCCCCTCCCTCCAGGCCCCTCATTCATAGGGATATTATAAATTGATTCAACTTGATGATAAATAAAAACAAATATTTTGATCTGAAGTGCTATGATTAATGTACCATGAATTCTAATGCATCTCTTAATGTAGTCCTGTCAATAAACTTCACATCTCTTTCAGGGTTAAAGAGAAAAGAAAGAAGAGAAAAAGTGAGGATTGTTAGAAGTGGGGCTTGTTGTTGAGTACCTTCAGGGGTGACCCTACCACAGGTTTTGTATATCATGCAAATCGAAAATGTCTAATATAAATAATGACTTATTGAAGCTTTTGTGTGAAATTGTCACATCTGGTTATGTCAGCTTGCCCTGAATGCTGAGGGAGAACTAATATTAGATACAGGACGTCTAAAGTTCACTAGGCAGCCTTAGACAAATAGATCTCAGATTTCTCAGTTCCATTTCACCTTGCTAAAATGGAAACAATATTGCTCAGTTATACTTATAAGCACTGTTTTAATATTAATTGGATGAGAAAATGTTATGGCCTTAAATCATAGGAATGTGTGTAGCAGGGAATTGGATTGGATGGCCTTGTGATCTCTTTCAAGGATTCTAGGATTTTAACAGAGGGGGGCAGAAAAATAAAAGTACCGTAAATATATTCTGTCCCCTGCTGCTATGTAACCGTTAGCTTAATTTATTCTGTATATACCCAATACCAATGTTCTGTTGTCATTTGTCACTGTGTTGACTTTGACTTATTGTGATCATGCAAATGAGATATCTCCATGATATGTTCAGAATATGACTGCTCGATTTAGTCATCTTTTCTTTTAGTTCAAGCTTGGTTTGCTCTCAGAGTCCTTTATTATGTTTTTGGCAAAAATTGTTCTCTATTTTATTTCAAATAAATTGATTTTCTTCTTGTCAGCTTTCTTCATTGGCCACCTTCTGCAACCATGTATAGAAAATGAAGATATTGTGGCATGGATTATTCTGATTTTGGCATTTCAAGATGTATCTTTAGACTTGAAGAATTTGTTTAGTTTTTCAACAGCTGCCCTTCCATATCCTAGTCTTCATGGTTTGGGTCCCAGTTACCTACAGGATCGCCTTCTCCTGCACAATCGGCACTTTAAGACACTGAGGTCCTCTGGCAGATACTTACTGCAGTCTGCCAGAATCCAACTGGCGACTGTCACCTATAGGACTTTTTCACTGGCGGCCTCAAGACTGTGGAATGACCTGCCAGAAAAGATCCGACAGCTAAACGATGTATCAAAATTTAAAACGCAATTGAAGACCCTTCTCTTCTAGCAGGTCTCCCCAGTCAACTTTCAATCACGAATTTTGATTTACATTCTATTGCTATTATATATCAATTCTGTATCCATGTTTAGTGCAAGTTTTGAATATTTTTGTGTTTTTGTCTAATTTATTGTATATATTTTATGTTCATATTTTTTTACTTTGTTGTACCCCGCCTTGAGTCATCAGGATAGGTGGGCAATAAATAAAATTGATTATGAAGATGATGATAATTTTCGGACTACAACCTCCATTTTGATTAATGACTGAGAAACTGTTTTAATGCCTTCATCACCTGTGTTTTGCTAGTATTTAACACCAACCTACTTCATGTGTTGTCTTTTTATTCTTTTTAATTTTCATTAGCCATTGTTTCAAGACTTTGCTATTTATGCTACTGTCATCTATGATGATATCTGCACATCCTAAAGTGTTGATATTCCCTTTTCCAATTTGCATTACTCCTATGGTTCTACCACACCAATTTCAGTTCTCTTAAATATTTATGTATTTCATGTGCACAGCCATAATGTATCATAATAAAACTTTTGTAGAGGTGCTCAGTGTTTAATTCAAGTTTTATCATATTGCTATGGTAAATTTCCTCACCAATTTCTCTGTGTGCTGTTTATTCCTGGGCAGATTTTGGTCTCCAAATTATCATGTCCCTTACTCTCTTATACCATGCCACAACCATTGACATAGTTTGCATAGAAACCTCATGTGTAATGTCAATTCCCAGGGCAAACAATGCCTAGATCAACTTTTCGTAACCCTAGCTTTGTAAACTATGGTGTCCATCATTCTCACCCAGTACAGACACTGATTGGGGAAAGGTTGTTGTCCTTCTTCTGTCACCTGTCCAGAAATAATTCTGAGGCAAACAAAAGTCATTATTTCAGGGACTTCTTTTGTCCTCTGAAATGGATTGTGTTGTTTATGCAACACTCCCTATCCCTGCTATCCCAGGAATTAAAAGGTCGAGAATTGAAATAGTACCCAGATCATTTCAGTGGTCTTTGTTTGTCACCTTTGTGACAAAATATAAGCTTCCCCAGCCTTTATTGACTTGTGCTGCTTTCTAAGATGCAAAATGCCTCACTTGAAGTTGTGTCTCTGTTGGTGAGAGTGGGTTGAATATCCAAAAGTCAGCTGATGGATGACACTTTCTCATGGAGAAGTTAGTAAACTTTAACAAACCCCAGGTATAGAAATGCAATTATTCTTAGGGGAGGGGTATGAGTGATGCTAATTTTTAAAGAAAGGACTTTTAAGAGACCACTGTACCATTTAAAATGTACTTTGAAAATGCTTTTTTGTCATTATGACCAGAATGTTTTTAAATGTTGTTGATAGTTTAGTTTCATTTTAATGTTGACTTTCTGTCAGTTTTAGCAGAACTTTGGCTTGTAGGTTACCTTGTGTCCTTGTTTTTGGGAGGAATTAGGTGTAAATAACAACAACAATTTCATTGAGTACATATAATCAAAAACAAACCTTTTTTATAGGCCATTCATGGATACCAAAATCTGTGAATGCTCAAGTTTCATTATATACAGTTGTGTAGTAAAATGGTGTTTCTTATATAAAATTGCAAAATCAAGGTTTGTTTGGAGGATCATGTTTCTGTTTTTCAAAAAACATTTTCAAGTTGTGGATGGCTATGTCCATGGATACAAAGATACAGAATATCAACTGTGTTTGAAAAGAGATCAGCCAGTCAACCAGTGTTGGTATTGATGTTGTTGATGCTGTTGTGTACATGCACACCTTGAAGTCACTTGTCAATTTATGGCAATTGCATGACTTCCATAGGGTTTTGTCAAACAATAAATATTCAGAACTGTATGGTTCA